ATTCTTTGTCCGTCTTTTACTTTTTTTGCCCTTTTTCAATTTGTTTTTATTATCTATCCGTTTTCTACTTTTTTCATTTTTTCCACTCTTTAATTGTTTTTCATTGTATGTCTCTTTTTTATCACTTTTGTCCCCTTTAATCATTCTTGGCCCCTTTTTTCAATTTTTTGTCCCTTTTTTGTTTTATTCTTTGCCCCTTTTTTCATTTTTCATACATTTGTCCTTTTCTTCATTACTTATTTTTGTCCCCGTCTATTCAGTTTTTTGTCCGTTTTTTCATTTTTTTGTCCTTTTTCCTGTTTCTTTTTTTACTTTTTGTTTCTTTTGTCATATTTTTTTTCCTCTTGTTTCCCCCTATTTGGTCCCTTTTTTGTCCACGTTTTAGTTTTTTTCATTCTTGCACTCTTTTTGGAATCATTCTGATCCTGTTTTTCATTTTTGTCCCTTTTATCAATTTTGTTGTCTCTTTTTCATTATTCTTTGTCCTGTTTTACTTTTTTTTATTTTTGTCCCATTCTTTTAATCTTTGTTCCAGTTTTGTTCTGTCTCATTTTGTGCCGTTTTTAATTTTTTCTCCAATTTTTTTTTTCTTTATTTTTGTCCTGATTTTTCATTTTTGTCCCTGTTTCAATTTTTTGTCATCTTTTGCGCCTTTTTATTTTTTTATTCCTTTGTCCTTTATTTCATTCATTGTTCCTCTTTTATCCTTTTTCAAATTTTGTCGTTTTTTTCCTCATTTATTGTTCCTTTTTAACGTTTTTTTGCCACCTTTTAATTCTGTCGTCCCCTCTTTCACTTTTGTGCCATTTTTATCCTATTTTAATTTTGTACCGCTTCTTATTTTTTTATTTTTTTTTCATTCTTTTTATTATGTGTACCAATTTTTTGTTTGTTCATTTTTTGTATCTTTTTTCATTAATTTTTTCTTTTTCGTCCCTCTTTTCCAATTTTTTTACTTTTTTCATTTTTCTGATTTTTTGTTTTTTTCATTTTCCATCCCTTATTCAACTCTTTGTCCCTTCTTCACTATTCTTTATTATTTGTCCGCTTTTTACTATTTTTATTCTTTGTCTTTGTCCCTTTTTTATTTTTTTTCCATTTATTGTTCCTTTTTATATGTTTTTATTTTTGTCCCTTTTTCATTTTTCTGATCCTTTTTTTTATCTTTTGTCCCATTCTTTATTTCTTTCCTTTTGTTCTAGGCTTTTTTACTTTTTGTCCATTTTTATGGTTTTTCATCTTTTGTTCCTTTTGTAAAGCTACTGCGAGCCTCACAAATAATTATGGACATAAAAGAGAAACGTCAAAGGACTTACGACCTCAGAAAACAACAGCAATTTGGCTTTTTCGTCTTACGTCTTTCTTTGCTTCTAAAAACGTCTACATGCGCGGCATGTCTTCTACTCTCGGCTACAAGAATCGACTGACAACTTGGAAAACATCCTAACTATAAAACGGCGTGACAAGAATACTAACATAAAAATTACTACCAAAAAAGGTAAAGTTAACAGCACGAAAGGGGTGGTACCAGCGTACACAAGTCTTACGATAACCAAATATGGATAGCACTAGGTAATAGCAATATCAACAAAACAGGCATAAACAAGTCAACAAACAGGATATAAACAAGTTATTTTAACGAGTTACTTGAAACTGGGCAAACCAGAATAACGAGTTTAATAGGGCGCATGATTCGACGAGCGTCTATGTCGCAACACCTTGTCCCTTTTTGTTTTTTTCATTTTTTGATACTTCTTTCTTTTTTTGTCCCTTTTTTGTCTCGTTTTTTCATTTTTGTCCCCTTAACTCTTTTTTCATCTTTGTCCCTTTTTAATTTTGATTTCATTTTTGTCCTTTGCTTTACATCCTCTGTACCTTTTTTAATATTTCTTTTTTCCCCTTCTGTTTATTTTTTCTGTCATTTCCTTTTTTGTTTCCTTTTCTCCCGTTTTTTCATATTTGTCTCTTTTTTCATCATTTTTTGATAACTTTTCATCAACTTATTTTTCGTCTCTTTTCTTATGTTTGTTCACCTATTAATTTTCTTAATTCTATGTCTCTCCTTTTTAATCCTTTTTGTCCCGTTTAATCATTTTTGTCCCTTTTTCATTGTAATTGGTTTTTTCACTCTTTATCCGTTTTTTATATTTTTTATTTAATTGTTGCTTTTTTCTATTTCTTTATGCCTTCTTTTTATTATTTTTATGTCTAATTTCTGTGTCACTTTTGTCATTTTTCTGGTCACTTTTTGTCCCTATTTTTTCTTCACTTTTTGTCCCTTTTTCAATTTTTTTACCCTTTTTTGTCCCGCTTTCTCAATATCGTCCCCTTTTTAACTTGTTTTTCATTTTTGTTCTTTTTTAATTTTATTTCATTTCTATCCAAATTTCTAATTTTTTCTACATCCTTTATTATCTTTTATACTTTGTCCCTTTTTTTTCTGTTCATTTTTGTTACTTTTTTCAATTCGTGTCCCTCTCTTGTTTCGTTTTTCATTTTTTCTTCTTTCTCATTATTTAATATTTTTTCAGTTTTATTTGTCAATTTTTTTGACCATTTTTTTATTAATAGTTTTTTGTCCCTTCTGTACTTTATTTCATCTCTGTAATTTTTTTCATTTCTTGTCCTTTTTTTAATATTCTTTTTATTCCCTTTTATTTCATTTTTAACCTGCTTTTTCCTTTTTTGGCCAATTTTCATCAATTTTAATTGTCTGTATCTTTTTTAGTTTTTTTCAATTTTGCCCCTTTTTTTATTTCATTTTTGTCTCTCTTGTAATTTTTGTTGTCCCTTTTCTCATTATTTTTATTCTTTGTCTCCTTATTTTTTTAATTTGTTTGTCCCTTTTTTCTTTACTTGTCCCCTTTTTTATTGTTTGTCCACTTCTTAATTTTTTCCGTTCTTTTTCTCTTTGCTTTTATCCTTTCTCTTTTATCATTTAATCATTTTTTGTCCCTGTTTTCTTTATTTTATTATTTGTCTTTTTTTAATTTTCTGTTCCTCTGACTTTTCAATTTGTTTGTCACTTTTTTGTCCCATTTTTTCAATTTTGTAACTATTTTTCATCTTTTTTCATTAGTGGTCTCTTTGTCTCTTTCTTTATCATTTTTGTCCCGTTCACTTACTTTCTGTCCACTTTTCATCCTTTAACTCTCCTTTTCAATCTTTATCTGTTTTTTATTTCTTTCATTTGTTGTCCCTTTTTTATTTTTTCATCATTTGTCTTCTTTTTCATTTTTGTCCCTTTTTTCATAAGTTGTTATTTTTTCTTTTTTTGTCCCTTTTTGTCCTGCTTTTCATTTTTGTAGTTGTTTTCATTACTTGTTTCATTTTTTTGTCTTTTTTCTATTCTTTGACCTTTTTTTCACTTTTAATTTTCTTCTTTCTTTGTCTCTTTTCTTATCATTTTTGTCCCTTTTTTCATTTTTTTGCCCTTTCTTTATCATTTTTTGTCCCTTTTTTTATTTCCTGTTCATTTTTCAATCTCCTTTTGCCTGTTTTTATTTTTGTTAATTTTTATTTCTTATTTTTTCTTGTTTCTTTTGTCATTTTATTTCCCTTTTTTTGTCTCGTTTTTTATTCTCGACTCTTCATCAATTTTTTTTTCATTTTTTGTACCTTTTCCATTATTTCTTTCTTTTTTATATTTTTTGTACCTTTTTTAAATCCTTTAATTTTTGTTCATTTTCGTCCCTTTTCCAGTTGGCATTAACTGAGTCTGCTTCAGTTTAATAAGCTAGATGTGACTCGGCTCGGGTTGCGTTAGCCAAGTAAAGTCAGTCTTGGTCGAGTTAGCACAGTTTCAGTCAGCCCGGGTTTAGTCAGCTTGGGTCATGTCAGCCTGGGTTGATTCGTCCTGGATTTAGTCAGCCCGGGTAGAACCAGATAATGATTATCAAGCCTAAGATCATTGACCCTCTAATGAGTTGTCGGGCTTGAGTAAGCCTCAATTGAATAAGACAATGTCGGCTCAGCCTGGATTGACATGGTTGAGTAAGCCCGGGTAAAACCAGCCAAATTTTAGTTAGCCTATGATGAGTGACAATCAAAAGAGTTTGCTCGAATTAAGTCAGCCTCTGCTCAATAAGACCAAGTTGGCCCAGTCTGGGTTGACTCGGCCCGGCTTGATTGAGTCTGGGTTAAATCATCTTGGTTTTAGTCAGCCCTTGTAGAACCAGCCAAAGTTTAGTAAGCCTGGGATTTGTGACTCTCAAATGAGTTGCCAGGATTGTGTCATTCTCTTGAAATGGACACATTTGGCCCAGCCTAGGTTTACTCTGCCCGAGTTGAGTCAGCTCGGGTAGAGTCAGCCTCAGAAAAGTCAGGCGAGTTCAAGTCAGCCCGTTCTGAGTCATGCTAGGTTGAGTCAGCCCTTGTAGAAACATATATGTTAAGTAAGCCGCAGATGAGTGACCCTCAAAAGAGTTTGCCGGACTGAATCAGCCTCTGTTGAATAAGCTAGAGATGATCCAGCCCCAGTTAAGTCGATCCGGGTTAAGTCAGCCCTTGTTGAGTCATCCTGGGGTGAGTCAGCCTTGGTAGAACCAGCCAATATTTTGTACGCTGAGATCAGTAACTCTAAAAAGAGTTAGCCTTGATTTAGTCATCCTCAGTGGAATAAACTCAGATGGACCCGACCCGTGTTGAGTCAGCCTGGGTTGAGTCAGTCCGGGTAAGTCATCCCTGGTGTGATGTATTCGTTCAGTTTTGAGTCTTATTGTTATGGCTTCGTTTTAGATAGTGATTCAAGTTGGATTCTAGCGTGAATGTGCCTGTTCTCTTGTGTGCACTAGGCCTGATATATTACAAATTGGCGACGAGAAATGGTTTTGGGTCCTCACATTATGTTTTAATGGTTACAAACGGGACTGTGATAGGCGTTCTCAGTTTTTTGTTGAAACGGAAAACTCAAGTAGGCCAGCTAAACGAGTTGAGTGGTAAAGACTGGCACTGAATTCTTAGGCCAATTTTGTTTGCTTGAATGCTGACGTGGCATTAGCATGGCACAGGTGCTAGGACAGGTTGGTCCTTACAATGAAGGGAAGGAGGACTGGGCTTGTTATGTGGAAAGGCTGGAACAGTTTTTCATCGCAAATGATATTACTGAAGCATCCAAGAAAAGGGCTGTGCTTTTGAGTGGAATTGGACCTTCAACATATTCGGTGTTGAGAAATTTGATGACCCCAGATATACCTTCAAGTAAGTCGTATGGTGAGCTGAAAGCTACATTATCTGCTGATTTTAAACCAAAGACATTAGTGATTGCAGAGCGTTTTTGTTTTTACAAGAGAAATCAACATGAAAATGAGTCTATTTCAGATTATATTGTTGAGTTGAAGAAACTTGCAAGAACTTGTGACTTTGGGGATGTTTTGTCAATTGCTTCGCGGGACAGGCTTGTTTGTGGTTTGCGTGCAGAGACTATTCAGAGGAAGCTTTTAACAGAAATTGACCTTACCTTTGACAAGGCACAAAGAATCACTGTAGCAATGGAATTAGCTCAAAATAATGCAGTTGATTTGCAACCATCAAGTTCAAATGGTGGATTAGGAGTTAACAAGGTGGAACATCAACACAATAAGAAGGCAAAAGCAAGTGCTTCAGCATCTAAACCTGCTAAAGAGTGTTGGCGATGTGGAGGAGATAAACATAATGCAAATGATTGCAAATTTAAGTCATTGAAATGTTTTAATTGCTCCAAACAAGGTCACTCTGCAAAGAGGTGTAGAAGTGAAAAGACGGTATTATGGCACCAGTGATGCATAGTGATTGGGCTTCTCCAATTGTGGTAGTTCAAAAAACTGATGTTAGAGTCAGAATTTGTGGGGATTATAAAGTTTCAGTGAATCCAGTGTTACATGTTGATCATTGTCCATTGCCAAACATTGAGGACATATTTGTAACACTTTCAGGAGGAGTTTATTTCAGCAAATTGGATTTGTCCAATGCATAACAACAGTTAGAGCTTGAAGAGGATGCTAAAGATGTGTTAACCATCAATACTCACAAGGGGCTGTTCATGATAGAAAGGTTAAATTTTGGTGTCGCTAGTGCACCTGCCATATCTCAGTCAGTCATAGATAGGGTGTTGTCTGGTGTGAAGATTGTTGTATGTCACTTGGATGATATTCTGATCACAACTAGATCTATTGAGGAGCATAAAGAGATCCTATCAGTAGTTTTGCAGAGGCTTGAAAGTCATAAAATTAAAGCTAAACTCAGTAAATGTGAATTCTTCAAGTTTTCTGTCACTTATCTTGGATACAAGATAGACAAAGAAGGATTCCATCCAACTGAAGAGAAAATCAATGCCATTATTGATGCACCTGCTCCAACAAATGTTACAGAGTTAAGATCTGGCTTGGATTGATAAATTATTATGGGAGGTTTCAAAGAAGTCTTGCTTCCATTTTAGGCCCTTTGCATGAGCTGTTAAGGAAGTATGTACCATGGGAGTGGTCAGAAGCATGTCAGAAAGCATTTGAAGCTTGTAAAGCACAGTTGAGCAGCAGTAAGGTACTAGTGCATTACGATACGGCTAAGCCTTTAAAGCTGGACTGTGATGCATCCAGTTATGGAGTTAGAGCTGTGCTATCACATGTATTGGAAGATGGTTCAGAAAAACCAATAGCATATGCTTCTAGAACATTAAGTTCAAGTGAAAGAAATTATGCTCAATTAGAGAAAGAGTCCTTAGCAATGATTTTTGGGGTAAAGAAATTTCACAAGTATCCCTATGGGAAAACATTTTCTTTGGTGACAGATCATAAACCGTTAACTTCTATTCTTGGTATTGCAACGTTGGGCTTTGATCTTTGCAGCTTATCAATACAAATTGAAATTCACAGGAAGGAAAAGAGCCAGTGTGTCAAGTTAGGTTTACTGATTCTTTGCCAATTTCTGCTAAAGATATACAGCAAGAGACAGGAAGAGATCCACTTTTGTCAATAGTTTTTCGAGATTTTTCAGAACTTTTTGAGATTTTTTGAGATTTTTTGAGATTTTTCAGAATTTTTAATGTTTTTTCGGGATTTTTCGTGATGTTTTTTTTCTTCAATATTTTTGAATGTCTTTGATTTTGATGATATTTTCTTCAATATTTTTGAATGTCTTTGATTTTGATGATATTTTTTGAAGTTTTATCAATGTTTTGATATTTTCGACATTTACGAGGTTTTTCGAGATTTTTCGGGATTTGTTGGGATTTTTAAAGAATTTTTGAGATTTTTCAGAATATTTAGGTTTTTTCCGGGATGTTTGTGATTTTTTGGCATTTTTCGGGATTTTTTGTGATGTTTTTTTTTCTTCAGTATTTTTGAATGTCATTGATTTTTATGATATTTTGATTGAGATTTTTCGGAATTTTTGAGATTTTTCGGGATTTTTTTCGATGTTTTTTTATTTTCTTCAATATTTTTGAATGTCTTTGATTTTTATGACATTTTTTGAAGTTTTTTCAATGTTTTGATATTTTCGAGATTTATGAGATTTTTCGAGGTTTTTTGAGATTTTTCGAGATTTTTTGGAATTTCTCGGGATTTTTGAGTTTTATCTAAATTTTTCAGGTTTTTTCGAATGATTTTCAGCATTTTTTAGCATTTTTCAGAATTTTCGAGATTTTTTGAGTTTTCTCGAGAATTTTAGGGATTTTCGGGACTCTTGAGATTTTTCAAGATTTCTCAGGATTTTTAGAAATTTTTGAGATTTTATGCGAGTTGTAGGATTTTCGGAATTTTCGCATTTTATCAAAATTCTTTGATTTTTTTTGAAATTTTTCAAAATTTTTCGAAATTTTTTCGGGATTTTTGGGGGGTTTTTCGGGACCTTTCTGGATTTCTCAGCATTTTTCAAAATTTTCCGGGATTTTTTGAGTTTTTTCTTGAATTTTAGGGATTTTTCGGGAATCTTGGGTTTTATCAAAATTTCTCAGGATTGTTTAAAGGACAAGTGAGACGCTTTTGGCGCCAATTTTTTTTCTTTTAACTTCAAGTAAAATGCTGTATGAGAGTGTTGTTGAAATATTTTTCCTTTCTGATTTCAATTTCCTACTTAAAAACCCTTTTCAAATTATGGCGGGGATTGAATCACGTGACACCGTGACGTAGATTGTGATAATCTGTTATTGCTGTTACTGGTAGACAGTGCAATATTAACGTTTACAACACGCTTCAAAACGAATTCAGTTCGTCTGGACCTGTCGCGTCGTGTTTCGTAGACTCTCTATTAATGACAGGAAAATTCCGAGTTATCACAATGTACGTCCTAGGCTCACGTGATAAAAAGCAAAATCGCGCCCCCTGCGCCCCCTGATTATAATTTTTTGTTCTAAACCAGGAAAAACATACTTCTGAATAATGATCTATAAGTTAATGAAAAGAAAAGATAGGGTGAAAAGAGTGTCACTTGTCCTTTAAAACTTTTAAAGATCTTATGGGATTTGTACGGATATCTCCAGATGTTTCAGTTTTATCGAATTTTTTTGGGTTTTTTAAATTTTTCAGAATTTTTCGAGATTTCTCCTGATCTTTCCAGTTTTTTCAAGATTTTTTGATATTTTTAGAGCTTTTTTCGAGATCTTTGGGATTTTTTTTTATTTTCTCGGGTTTTTTCGGGATTTCTGCGGACTTTTCCGGATTTTTCCAGATCTTTCGAGATTTTTCCAGATTTTTTCAGGCTTTTGAACTTTTTCAAGATTTTCAGAATTTTTCAAAAATTTTCGAGATATTTTGGGTATTTGGATTTTTTGAGTTTTATTAGGAATTTTCTGGAATCTTGAAGATTTTTCCAAATTTTTGAAATTTGTCAAGATTTTTCTGGATATTTTAGTTTTTTTGATATTTTTTGGGAATTTCGAAATCTATCAAAATTTTTTTTGGATTTTTCGAAAATTTTGATTTTTCTGGACAATTTTCGGGATTTTTTCGGGACTTTTCGGGATTTGTTTGGATTTTTGAACATTTTTTCCTTTTTCCGGGCTTTTGAGGTTTATTTTTGGATCTTTTCCCAATTTTTCGAGTCTTTAGGGTTTTTAGGGAACTTTGAGAGACTTTTCATATTTGTCAGATTTTCTAGGATTTTAAGGGATTTGTTGAGGGTTTTCCTAACTTCTTTCCAAATTTTCGGGACTTTGAAGGGATTATTAATGTTTTTCAAGATTTTTGGGTATTTTTTTGGAGTTTTCAAAATTTTTACGACTTCTATGGGATCTTTCCGATTTTTTCCAGTTTTTCGAGATTTTCAGATAGTTTTGGTATTTCTCAAAATTTTTCAGGGTTTTAGGTAATCTCTTCAATTTCTTCCGATTTTTCAAGATTTTCCACTGTTTTTTAGGGAATTTTGTAATTTTTCTAAATTTTCTCCTTTTTTCCGATTTCTCAGAGTTTTTTTATCTTTTTTCCCAAATTTAGGGATTTCTTCTGATTATTCTCGATTTTTCAGGATTTTGAAGGATTTTTCCAAATTTTTTCAAATTTTTTGGGATTTTTTCCGATTTTTTCGACTTTAGGCCGTTTTCCGATTTTTCAGGTTTTTTCCGATTATCCAAATTTTGGGGATTTTGAGGGAGTATTTGGGATTTTTTCCGATTTTTCCGATTTTTTTAGGATTTTTTCTGATTTTTTCCAGTTTTTCAGGATCTTGAAGAATTTTTGATGTTTTTCTATAATTTCCGGGATTTTGAGAGATTTTTCATATTTTTCATCATCTTTCGGGATTTTTACAAATTTTTTCAAATTTGTCAATTTTCAGAGCTTTTCGGGATCCTTTCGATTTTTTCCCAATTTTTCCAATTGTTAAAGATTTTTTCATATTTTTTATGATTTTTCGAAATTTTTTCTGATTTTTTCCAATTTTTCGGGATTTTGTAAGGATTTTTGAAGTTTTTCTAGATTTCTCGGAATTTTTTGGAATTTTTGATATATTTCAAGATTTTACAGAACTATCGGGCCTTTTTTTGGATTTTCCCCAAATTTGTTCGTCTTTTTCCGATCTTTCGGGATTTTGTCGGATTTTTTTGAATTTCTCGGGAATTTTTTCGATTTTTTCCAAATTTTCGGAATTTTGAGGAATTTTTTTGGAATTTTTCCGGTTTTTCTGATATTTTGAGGTTTTTTACTTTTTTTCTGATTTTTAAGAGTTTTGAGGGATTCTTTGGGATTTTTTCCGATTATCTGGATTTTTCGGGATTTTCTCAGATTTTTTCCAGTATTTTGGGATTTTGAAGAATATATGAAATTTTTCAAGATTTTTCGGGATTTTTGGGATTGTTTCCGATTTTTTCTCATTTTTTAAAATTTTCCGGGATTTCTAGGGACTTGTAGGGATTTTCCTCATTTTTTTCCGCCTTTTTATAATTTTTCCGATTTTTCGAGATTTCTTCTGATCATTTCAAATTTTTTGGGATTTTGATAGGTATTTTAACGTTTCTCAAGATTTTTCGGAATTTTTTTGGGACTGTTGATGTTTTTCAATTTTTGCTAGGATTTTTAGGGATTTTTCGGGCATTTTGCCGATCTTTTCAATTTTTGGAATTTTTTCCGATTTTTTCCAGTTTTTTGGGATTTGGAGGAGTTATTGATATTTTTCATAATTTTTCAGAACTTTGAGAGATTTTTGATATTTTTCGAGATTTTCCAGGATTTTTAGAGATTTGCTGAGATTTTTCCCAAATTTTTCCGATTTTTAGGGATTTCCCGATTTAGGGATTTTTAGGGATTTTTAGGGATTTCCCGATTCATATTTCTCAGATTTTTGATATTTTTTCTGATTTTCCTCAAAATTTCCAGATTTTTTAAGGTTTCCGGGATTTTTAGGGAATTTGTGGGATTTTCCCCGATTTGTTCCAATTGTTCCGCTTTTTCGGAATTTTTTCCGAATTTTCCAACTTTTTCTAAAATTTGAGGAATTTTTGAAATTTTTTAAAGATTTGACGGGATTTTTAGGATTTTTTTTGGATTTTTTCCGATTTTTCGGGTTTTTTAAGATTTTCGCATTGGCATTATTTCAGTTTTCAATGGGGGCATCATATAAAAACATGATTTTTCAAGTTATGGGAATAAAACCTGGAAATTATTTAGAAAGAAATCGCAAAGGATGCAAAAAGGATAAGAAAAGCTGAGAGGGCTATGACAACCACTGCAAAGAAAAGGAAAAAAGACTTGAAGTTTAAGAAATCACAATCTAGTAAGGATGCGAGCAAGTGAGAAGAAAAATGTATGAGAGTGAAGGTTTTGATGTTTAGTCTGATAATTTTGTTAACATGAACTGTTTTGAAAGTAAATTTATCATTTATATAATTGATATGATAATGATTGCTCTATAATTATTTTCTATGTTATTGAAAATGTAAGTTCTCTGAACGTTTTTTGCTTC